AAAAAACAGATTCATTCAGAGGAAAAATAATCAGTGAACATGAAGACAAATCATTTGCAATGACCAATCTCAGTTTATAGATGAGCCAAAGATAGTACAGCTTATTAGGCTATGTTATTTACTTCACAACAGACAGAACCTTTAGCTCAAAAGGCCACTGTCACTAAAGTCAAACTTTTCCAACTGAACTGTTTTAAACACAGTGCAAATTAGTAAATTTTAAGCCATTTAAAGCCTGCCTACTAGGCATAGACCATGAATTTTCACTCAACATCCGCTAGCCATAAATAAGGCAAACTATGACTATAAAAGCATTTAAGCTCCTGCTATCAATTCATAATTCTCAGACTCAGATACTCCCTATATTGTGGTTGAGAGATCATTTCCGCAAGTGAGCCCCCAAACTAACACTCTCCTCTTGGGAGTTTCTTTGCCATCCTAGCTTTCTTAGTGTTGGCCTCATACTGTTGCCACTGGAGGCATCATCCTGAGAGGGACTTCTCCACTGAGTCAAGCTATCAATATGCCACCCTAATAAATCTTGCTGTGTGATTCTGCTACCCCGTGTTCAGATACTTGTACGTGGTCAGCCCTGAAATTCCACAATCTCAATTCACGTCCCCAGCATGCATGTATAGGGTCATGTAGATGAATCCCAGTGGGATGTAAGCTCCTTTGAGAAGGGAGTGTGTATGTCAATCTAGGGAGTTCCAGCTCTAGCATGAGTCCCACCCACAGCAGGCATCTGGACCTGCCTTTGCCCTCCTGGAGACATATTAGGGCAGAAGAGGTGATTCTTGGCGCAGCCATTAGAGAGAGCTCACATAATTCTTGTTGCTTAGAATTACAGCTCAATTCAATTACAGCAGGAGTGCAAAATATATATCATCTTAGGCAGACAATAGAATTAACTGTTCATCATCTTCACACATGACTTGGCATTTTTCTTCCCTGACTCTACAGTGCAATCACTTCTGGAGATTAAAAAAATTAATAATTATATATTCACTTCGGTAATCTTTGTACTCATTTATTTGGTCTCAGGCCCATGGTCTGTGGATTGTGTTAGTTTGGCAATATCACAAGTCAGCCCAGTGAAGCTCCTAGAAGCATTTTCTCTTGATGTTTAGGTTCAATATTGTTGTTAGTTAAAGGATGTTTCCATCCCTGAAGACAAAGTGGGAAAATCTCCTTGTAACAAACTTCCTTTGCTTGGGAAAAAAAGATTGCATTAATTGTAAAGAAACAACTTATGTGCTGGCTGAGAGGGTTAAGGATTTTAACTGACTGCAGCTGTATGTTCTGGGCTGCTGTGATGGAAAAACAGCTGTGGGGTGACTGGTCAGAATATAAATCGGGAACGACCTAAAAGATGTAGAGTTTGGTCATGGAATTTACTCTTTCTCCCACATAGCTCAATTCAGAGATTTTGGGACAAAATTCAAGGAGCTTTTTGCAGACTGTCTGGACAGAGTTGATTGTCTCTCTGGCCCTTGGTTTCTTGCAGTAGCTCAGACCTGGACCAAGGGGACACTAAAACTTTTAGACTAGATGTCTTTGTTACTGCCCCCATGACCTTGCCTGACCAGGGCCATAGCATTCTGAGATATCTAGCACATGGGGCTGAAGATTACAATTGTATCACCACTAAGACTTGAAGAGAGACTGATGGAGTGAGGGGAACTAAGGTATGTAGAAAATGCTGCTAGAGAAAGGGTGTGTGTAACCCCAGATCTTCATTTCTACCCACATGCCAAGGAGTACAGACCTGAATGTGTGTGTTCAAAATTGCATAAAGGAAACTAGAACATCAACATTTAGCTTCTTTAACGACAAGTTATTGTTTAAATACCATCAAGTAGTGATATATTTTTAAAATTTAATTTCTTACAAAATTCTACATTTAATACTGCTAAGTCACTTTATTCTCCTGCAATTCATGCCACTTTTATAAACAAGTATTTTCTCAACAATCTCAAATGTTTGCCAAGTAGTATATTAAAGGATTCTTTTAAAAGTTACCATGCACACACATATTTTCTGATATGAAAACTAGCTGAACTTTTCTTCATACTGATTTTAGGATTACTGTCTTCTCAGGATGAGAATCTTTAGGTTGACTCATAAATAAGGGATCAATGAAGGACTTCCCTTCCTGACACAGACAGTGCTTTGTACAATCTAAATCTACACAGAAACCACAGGTGTTGCTCTATGAATAAAGAATTTTTCATGATTTTACGTTGAATAACTTCATAGAATAAAATTTTTTGCAAGAAATATTTGGTATTCCTCAAGAGGATTTAACTTCTGATTTCCTGTTTTAGTGTTTATTCTTTGACTGAGTTTTATTTTGCACACAAAGCCTGATACTTGGCTGAATATTTGTTCACAGTGATTGCTGACCTCTGGGTAATCTCATGTGAAGTTTGTTTATTTCATAAACAATTATAAATGAAGAATGATGGGTTACTTTATGCACGAGTCATCCAGTATTTGTAAAATTTAGAACTGTTGCTAGAAACATAGAAATATTATTATATTTACAGTGTGAGTTCTGCCATTTTATCTAAGGTTAGTCCAATGACTAAAAGCTTTGACACTTAGATAGAATGCATATGGACCCACTCAGATATAAAATGCTTCTCTGGCTTGAGGAGTATACTGATGTCAGGATTATTAACATTGCTTACAGACAGCGTGTATTTAATGTGTGGGTCCTCTAGTGTATCTAAATGGTAAAGATATAATTTTGATGTTTCTTCCACATTGATTATATGTATAAGGCCATGTCCTCTCAGGTCAGAATATTTACAGAAGGCATTCATAATTTTCTCTCCAGTGCTGGGTTCCCTCGTGTCATCTAAGGGAAGAAAGATGACTGAAGAATTTCCCACATTGCTGACATGTATATGGCTGCTCTCTAGTGTGGATTCTCTCATGTCGTCTAAGATTAGCATATTGACTAAAGGCATTCCCACACTGGTGACATTCATATGGTTTCTCATTAGTGTGTGTTCTGTGATGCCATGTAAGTTCAGAAGTTTGACTGAAAGCTTTCCCACATATAAGACATACATGTGGTTTCTGTCCCATGTGGATCTTCTTGTGTTGGCTAAGGCCAGAGCTTTGACTAAAGGCTTTCCCACATTGATGACATTCATAATGTTTCTCTCCAGGATGGATTCTCTCATGTTTTCAGACCTTTGACTGAAAACTTTCTCACATAGGTGACATTGATACAGTTTCTCTCCTGTGTGAGTTTTCTCATGTTGTCTAAGGTAAGAACTTCGACTGAAGACCTTCCCACACAGATGACATTCATAAAGTTTCTCTCCAGTGTGGATTCGATTGTGGTTTCTAAGGTCAAAGCTTTGCAGAAAGCCCTTCCCACATACATGACATTTAAATGGTTTCTCTTCAGTGTGAGTCATCTCGTGCCGTCTAAGGCTATAGCAATTATCGAAGGCTTTCTCACATAGATGACATTCACATAATTTACCTCTAGTGTGCATTTGATTCTGTCCACCAAGGAATGAGTCTTCACTAAGTGATTCTCCATAGTGTTGGCTGATATGAGGTTTCTTTTCTATGTGAATTAACAAATGCTGAGTCAGTGCATATCTATGAGTAAATTCATCACTTAAATCAATATATTCACTAGGATCCTCTGGAGTTTGAGATATCTGCTTTGAGGAAGAAGATGAAAAGTTGTTAATGGATTGCCCACAAACATCCATGCATTCATTTCTCTACCTATATATACTTGAGTATTAATCAGTAAGTCTCCTATGAAAATATTTCCAATGTTATTTGCATACACATGTGATGTTACTGTACTGCAGGTACAGATATTTTCTCCTAATACAGAGGTATGAGATTAATTTTGAAGAATTTAGTATGTTTCAACAACTAAGTAATGAACAAATTTTATCATATTTCCCTTTTGTAACATCTCAGGTAATTATTTTGGCTCATGTTAATTTCTTCACTGATTTTAAACTACCCGAAAATTTTACTTGAAAAAAATCTTAATCCCACCTTACTTACATAAGTGCACTCAGACAATTGTGCTTAATTACTAACTTATCTCATTTCCAGGTATTTAATTTCAATAACTAGGGATCACACCCATGAAACTAACCATTGGCTTGATGAAGGAAATGTCCTTCTTGCTGATCTGTTGCATTAAAATCATTTCTTGTTTTTGAAGGGGATTTGTAATGCCTAAAGTGATTGAAAATGTAGAGATACAGAAAGAGCCTTATAAATATGTTTCAAAATCTGGTAGTTAAGGAAAGCATGTCGAATGCGAATAAAACATCATAGGCCACAGAAACACTTTAAAGGTCTTTTTCAATTAGAAAAAACATCAGAGTTGAAATATTAAAAATGTAAGTGGTAAACAGATGTTGCGTCAGCATATGATGGGAAAACCTATAAATGGGAGGATCAGGATAAGAATCACTATGTGAAAATTTAACCGCCGTAAGTACACAAATATCCTTTCCCCTAAAGGGAAAGAAAATGTTAGAACACATGACTTGTGACTGATATATGCAAGAAATAATAACAACATGAAAAATTTTACCCTAATGTTCTCACTTATATTTTAGAATTTCAGTCGCTGTAGTCTATTGAGAGTGACACAACAGTGTAGTTAAATAAATAAATCACCTTCAAATAGTTTAAGAACCATGAAAGGATTTGAATGAGGATTATGAGGAGGATATGTAAAAACTATTTTGAATACATGTATAATAAATAATATCCAGGTTGATAGACTCACCCACAGAGACCAGGTGGCTGATGTTCTCCAGCATTATATCTATGTATAGCTTTCTCTGGGATGTGTCCAGCAGGACCCACTCTTCTTGGGTGAAGTTTACAGCCATATCCTTGAAGGTCACTGATTCCTAAAACATCATGGACATTCCAGGTTAAACAGAGAAATGCCTGCTAATGTCCAGAATTGGAGGGCTGAGATGATAGCATTGAGGAAATGATGGGGAGCTGGGTCTATTGAAATGTTAGTCTGTGTTTGGGGTTTCACTCAGTTCACTGTCAGTGCTGAGTTGGTATCTGCCTTTCAGATACATTCATAGAAATGTTCACACTCTGACTTCATAATAATTTATTATAAAGAAATATTACATGAGGTGTGGTGTAATATAAATTGAAAGTTTTTCAGTAATCTCATAATTAGGAATTTCAGACAGATGATGATAAAATATTCATTTAAACATTCATAACGAAAAATATCTTCCATTAATATCAAGTAACTCTATAGATTCATCATAAGATATGCAATAACCATGATATGGAACTTTTAAAAACATGGTCATCAGTTTAAATTATTTCCCTAGATGAACCTCTGGTTCCTTATCTGTGAACTTGTTTAATAACTTGTGAGCGTTGAAAGATTTAATGTACTAATGTATGAAGTGTTTCTTATCTAGCAAACCTGCATTAAATACAAGACATTACTCTATAAATCATTAAAATGTCAGAGAACCTTAAAGAGATCTCCAGCATTTGTCAGAACTGAACAAGATCTACACAGAAATTTGTACCAGTAAGTGTTGTCTATCTCAATGCTAAGGACACAGGAGTTCATAAAAAACTGTGGACAAAT